TAAAACGTAGCAGCGGTCTTCAATGCCACAAAATCAGAATCACTGTAGAGCAGGGCTGCATGTTGTGGTAAATACATCATGTTGTCATTATTTTGACAGAATTAGCGATTAGTGGGAATGATAATTTATGCATCACAAATTTAATTTTCATTGAATGAAAAACGTTTATAATCATGATATCTACACCTCAATGTCCTAATTCAAGCAGTGATTTTACAATCAGCATCAACTGCAACCAAGATATGACATTTGCACAAACATATTTATTCCTAATATTTCTTTCTGGAACTGTGTGAATCATAATCCTAAATGCTGAGAATTGTAAACACTTGGGCAATACAGATTTAGTCTATCATGAGCAGCAAGGCCAGCAGTCCACATATTGATATACATATATATATATTTCTCTGACAGGCAAAGACCACGTGTGTCGCTTTGTGGGCTGTGGCCGAAATGATCGTTTCAACTATGTGGTGATGGAACTACAGGTAGGATTATTTAGTTCAGGTAGAAATATTTCATTTTCTGCTGACAACAGATGAGTGAATGACACTCTGCACTCATTTCATGTCTTAAGGGGAGGAATCTGGCAGACTTGCGCAGAACCATGACCCGCGGCACCTTCTCCGTCTCCACAACTTTGAGACTTGGCAAGCAGATTTTAGAGGCCATTGAGAGCATCCACTCTGTAGGCTTCCTGCACCGTGACATTAAGCCCGTAAGTTGTTGTGAAAACCCTTCATGGTTTGTATATTTGTTGTCGTTGTATGTATGTGAACCTCACTTGACTGTATGACATCAGTTTACCGTTGAACGTGTTTATCTCGTTTACGTGTTTATCTGTGTTGTTTTATCTGTAGTCTAACTTTGCGATGGGAAGACTGTCCGGTACTTGCAGATGCTGCTATATGCTTGATTTCGGTTTGGCCCGTCAGTTTACCAACTCCAGCCAGGAAGTCCGTCCAGTAAGTACTATGTGTCAACTTCCTCGAAGCATTGTACTGGCTTTTTTTTTTTTGTGATCAAAGATCCTGCAAGTCACTTGTCCTCTGAGAAGCTGTTTTGAAGCATAGTCAACTTGTTGTTTGGTGTTAACACAAAAAGGCTTTATTAAATATGGATCCAATCCCATATACAGATTTATAGTTTTTTGGGCTATAAGTAAACTGCTGCATTGGTATTTGATCAGAGAATTTTAATGAGGTAGTCACGGCGATAGGATGTCTAGAAATAAATTAAAGGCACACTCATGTGAAATGTAGTTCATGTGACTCTGACAGCTTTCACGTGACCGCTGTTTGAACCTTAACAACGAATGTGACCTTAATGACCCTCATGCGACGCCAACGTATGACCATCCCAAAAAGTTTCACCTCTTCCACAACCATAGATCCTGTTTTCTCTTTTTTAAGGGGGATGGGATTGTTATGGAGAGATAGCAGATAGAATAGCACAGGTGGTGTACGTCATCTGAAACCTGAAGAGATGCAGTTCAGCACCGTGTGTCGAGTTCTTCTTGTCATAAATCTGTAATAAACGTGTTTTCGTTAGGTGCCTATTCAAAAGTATAAGTATATGATGGCCTTTACTATCCTCTATTTTGTTTCATAAGTTGTTGTAGCAATTTTTGGATTGAGGCCATTTGTCATTCAGATTTGGTGTAAAATGTAACCTTTTATGATCACTCAAATTGGTTTAAAATGGTCAAAAATTCTTCTAAAATAGTACATGACCACACAATTAGGTATCATTTTGACCTTTTTTGTGATTGGATGGTGAGGACTTCTGTTCTGTAAATTGCTCAGAAACCCCCTTATTGCCAGTATACCTAGGAAATCCATACATCCTCTGAATGCCCTCGGTCTCTCATTTGTGGTTGTACAGTTTCATGACGCTGTGATTGTCCTAAAGGTCACAGTAGGTCACTTTATACAGTGAGGTCAAGTTTCAGAAAATGGTCTCACTACAACAAACTCTGAACGACCGTAATGTCGGGCGAGTACGTCAGCATCCCTGTGGAGGGGAAGAGGTTAAATGCCTGGGAAAATGAAATCCAGCTGTCTTTAACATCATATTTATAGATGCCTATTTGTATTATTTGTGTTTGAGTTACCCCAGCTTAGCACTGATTCTCCATTTGACTATATCTTTATTAAACTCCAGCTGTATTCACTTTCAGCCTCGTCCTGTGGCAGGCTTCAGAGGAACTGTGCGATACGCTTCAATCAATGCTCACAAAAATAAGGTGAGCGTGAACCAAAAACGTCTCTTTTTAAATTCCTATTTCTTTTACCCTTGAAGTTACTCACACATTTGCATCTTAATCTGTAGGAAATGGGTCGTCATGACGACTTGTGGTCCCTTTTCTACATGCTGGTTGAATTCATGGTTGGTCAGCTGCCCTGGAGGAAAATTAAAGACAAAGTATGTGCCTCTATGTATCGCTTAGTATCGATGTGTAATTCACAGCATGTGTATCTTTTCAAACTCTTTCTTTTTCTCCTCTCGATGCTTTCAGGAACAAGTAGGAAATCTAAAAGAGACATATGACCATCGACTAATGCTAAAGCACCTTCCCTCAGAGTTTAGTACTTTCCTGGATCATATCTTGACCTTGGATTACTTCACTAAGCCTGACTATCAGGTTGGCCATCTCTTGTTTGGCATATTTTGCACACACTGTTTATTCCTCTCCAGCTGCCAAATGCTGACTCTTTCGGTTTCTCTCACACAGCTCCTGATGTCAGTGTTTGACAGTGCTATGAAGAGCCACAACGTGCTGGAGAATGACCCTTATGACTGGGAGAAATGTGATTCAGAGGATATGCTGTCCATCACTGCCGCAGCAACCACTGCTCAGCAACTCACTCGCCTCACCCCAGCGTACTTGGGGTATTTACAGCTGAAAGAAAGCTCTATCACTACAACTTATAGCCATTTATTCTATTAATTGCTGTTGACACATTGTTGCAGTTTCACTTGAGCTATTCAAACTTCCTTCACACTCTATTGGACATTAATTCAAGTATATAGCTGCAGCTTTTTTTAGACTAGAAATCTGCACAGTCAGAGATCCCTGAGAAATGGCTGCTCTAAATTGAACAGTGGAAATGAGCTGCAGAGTGACCTTCCTTCTCCTCCACAGCATGGCCAATGCTTCAGTGCTGCCGGGCGAGCTGCAGAGGGAGAACACAGAGGATGTCCTACAAGGGGAGCGCCTCAGTGATGCTGACAACTGCCCCCCCATCCCCACGCCAACCACCCCTGGTGCAGATGTATGGGAGGAAATGGACCGCAACCGAAACCATAAACACGCCCAGCCGATGATCAGGAAGGTCGGGGCAATGTAGTTTACTGTAAACGCTCAATACAATGTTCTAACCTACTGCTGTGATATTACTCTTATATAACTGCTTCTCTTCCTGTGCAGTGAGATAAAAGTTTAGCTAAAAACTCTCCAGAGTGCCTGGAGATATGATAATGTACCCTGCCAACCTCTATTAGTACATTTACTCCTCCTGGACTTGAATATAAACCCACAAAGAGCCCACCTACTGTCACTATCTTCCCAATACTTCAGTAATTAGAAAAATTGGGACTTAAGATTTCCCTGTTTACAGAAAGGGATGTCTTGCTCTCGCTTTATGTACATTCAGATGCAATATATCAGTTTATGAGCCTTATTGACATTTGTTCTTATCAGGTGGTGAGTGAGGATGAACACAGTCAGAACCAGGGGAACCAGAGCCCCAACACCGGCTCCATGCAGAGTTCTCCTAGACGGGTGCGATCAGAGACCATGTTCTTGGATCGGGCTGCGCCACTTCTCCGGAGGATGAAACACAGTCAGAGCCTGGCGTTGGAAAAGAGGCTTGCACCCGAACCGAAGCCCACCATCGAACGCTTCCTTGAGGCCTAGTCAGTACACATCAAATTACAATGTACACTTGTGACAGCTAGCAAAAATGTTAGTTCAGGGAACCAGACAGAAAGTCACCATAACACGTACGATGTTGTTGTTTCAGCTTGGGCAAACACCGTCCTGTCCTTTCTCAAGTCGGGGAAAAATCCATTCCTGAGAGGGTACACGGGCAGCAGACGCCTTCCCGCAACGAGGAGCACTCTGGCGCAGGAACCCCTGATCCAGAGGAAGGCGCTGCGAGCAGTGGCTTTGTGGCAGTGAACCTCAGTCCTGTACCCCAGGAGGGAGACTCTCAGGAGTGGGTGATGCTGGAGCTAGAGCAAGGCAGCGGTTCTGGAGCCACCAAGCCTCCAGGTGAGGCCGTGTTTGAGGACAAGCCTGGGACTCGCACGCCCGCTGAGATGGAGAACCAGTCCTCCGAGCCACACGATGCCCAGTCCACAGCAGTGCCGAGCAGTCCTGTGCTGTCGCAGATGTCCATGCCCGGCACATGGTTACTGGGCCACAGGAGGCTGCCGGGGATGCTGGGACAAATGCCCTCAGTCATTATGGGAAGACCTCAGATGGACCAGGTAGGGATGACCAAGCATTTTGTTGTGCATGAGCAGAAAGCATCATAATGGAAGTAGCGTTACGGCTAACCAACCAGCCTGGAAAACTGCATGACACACAAGTCGAAATAAGGGGTGTGACTGTCTGTGAATGCAGCAGAGTTTTGCTTCTGGTGCCCACTGCCTTGGAAACTTTTTATGATTCTGAGCACTTCTACTACTTAGGACTACTTAGGGATCAAACTTTAGATAAGAATAGGATGGAATTAAAAAAGAAAAAGGTCAAGGTCTTTTTATACCCTCTAACAATCATTAAACTCTTCTCAGTCCTCTAGCTGTGCGCCACAGTCCCCGGTACAGGAGAGGAGCGATGCGATACCACTAGAGGCACCAGCAAGTAAATCTGACAAAGTCCCAGAGGAAATCTTAAAAGATGGAGGTAGGTTGGAGTTAGCTCCAGTGCCAAGCCCAGCCAAAGGCCCCACTGCTCATCTGACAAACGACAGAGACCCAGAGAGTGATTCTGGTCTGCCCGATCGCTCCTCGGAGCCGAATCAGCAGCCTCAAGCTGACACAGCGGGAGGCGCTATGGAGAGCACCGTCACCGTCTCTTCGTCTCCGCCCCCAGCTCTGCTGAGGCGAAGAGACTCTCCGTCTTCCCCGAGACTGAGTCGAATCCCAGTACGAGACCCCAGCACCCCCCTGGACTCTCCGAGCAGGGACCTCCACATGGAGAGGCGTCATCGCTGGAGCAGTCCGGTCCCTGGCTCCCCCACCCACTCACCCTCTCCATCTCTGTCCTGTGACAATCTGCCTTGCGCTTTGCCGAGAGACAGGCTCTGCTCAGAGCGAGGTTCCAGGTCCGACTGTGTGGGAGAAGACCCTCTCTCTCTGTCCTCCTCATCAGGTAGTAAAAGTAAGATCCCACGTCCTGTGAGCGCCACCTTTATACCCGAGCAACTCACTAGCAGGTTTCTGCCTCGGCCACCTCCTGGGAAACCACCCATCCGCCTGTGTGTGGACAACAGGTATGAAACTGATCCACATTCCTCAGAGCTGAACAAAGTCATTTGTCACTTTTTGTTAGATGGTAAATATTTAAAGTTATAATCCTGAAGATTTCAATCCTGGATGATGTGTAACCCATGGTTACTTATCAGCAACTATGTCATAAATATAACAGAAGAGCAACTGTTACAGTGTAGACTAACACACTTAAGTTGTTTTTATAAAGATGTCAGTCAGTCATTTTTCCCATAATGCCTCAAGCTGCTGCAATCTGACTTTATGCTGCACACAGTGTGATTCCAAACAACAACAAGGCGCAGTAGTAGGAGTTATTACCTCGCTGAGGAGTGGGAGGTGTCAGCCTGTCGCCTGAAACTCACTTTGGCTGCTCCATCTTGTTCTATTCCTCACTGCAATATTTAAAACTGACCCACTGTCAAGAAATGCCGAAAATGACTGTTGTCTTGTTTTGTAAACACATTTTTGATGAATAATAGAAGCCACTGCGTGTTTCACTGGTTGAATGCTTTTAATGTGAACTAGCTGCGGTAGGAAACATTCAGTGATGAACAGCGATGTTATCAATGAGATAAAATGAACAGTGGATTAAATGCTGCATTATTTCCCACAAATCTCTTGTGTGTACTCCACCACTAACAATGAAAACCACAAAGGAGATAATAACAGAATGTAAATACATTAAATGGGTATTGCTGACAGTGAATAATATCAAAAGGAGCATTTGATATGATTAAAATCTAAAGGATTAGAACTTGAACTTGTAGAGGAGGAGGCATCAACATACAGAAGGGATGATCATATAACTTGTGTTCTTTTGTCCAGGAGACGGCGGTTAAGAGTGCGTGCCAGCAGCACTAGCGACGCAGACTTCCTGGCCAGTCTGACTCAGCTGATGCAGGACCGCAGCGGGATGCTCTTCAGCCCTCCTCCTCGCCCTCGCAGCTCTTCCTCTTCCCTGCAGCGCTCGCTAAGCTCCTCCCCTTCCCGCCAGGAGTTGCGCGACAGCGGCGCTCTGCAGGGACGCAGCCGCTCTCCGTCAAGCTTTTCCAGCTCCCCTCCTGCTCGGCACGTTCACCCACAAGACAGGTCTGGTGTTCAGGGTCAGTGGGGCCACAGCTCCAGGGGAAGGGGTCAGATCCACGAGGGTAAAGGCTCTGGAAAAGTGAATCGATGACTCTATTTGACAACAAGTGACTGATCCGGATGGTGCAACTGTAGCGAGAGGCTGTCTCACATCCAGTCCCTGATAGCATGTGTAAATACGGTATTTACTTAAGGGAATGTACTGTATGTAATGTAAAATGTATGATAAATTGTATTTATTTATTTATTTGTTGGATGTGTCTCTCGAAAATACTTGACGACGTGGCTTGATACCTGCAGTTGAAACTAAAAGGTTGAGAAAACCGTAAGATTGCCAACTCTTTACCTCTCATTTCACTCCTCTCTTAAAAATCCATATAGGCCTAATATGAGACCAAAAAGATAATGTTTAATACTTGAGGGATGTAGAAATGATGCTAATTGTAGATATGTACCATTAACGAGATGGTATACACTAATAGAAACCATGTACTCACGTTAAGAACACTAATAGTAAATAACACCAGAAGCAGTATACCAACATCAGCATTCATGTACAGAACCAGGGCATGCAGCCCCATATTGACCTCACTCCTGTAAAACAGCTAGATTAATTATTGTATGTAACAATGAATTGCTCATCTGGCATATCACTGTGTAGTAGTGTGCTTTTACTTTGCTAGAAAAAATGTCATGGAAAAAGGCATCAGCATATTAGAATGTACCTGTATTTGCACTCATACTTAAGTATTGTAAAAGTGCATGAGTATCATTGCAAATGTTTGTTTGTTTTTTTTATTCGTTTGTACAATCCGCTAAGGCATCTGTATTTTTATTGAGCTGCTTAAATACATCATAATGTAGACCAGCAACGATGTGCATATTTATTTCTTACATCAAGTAGATGATAAGGGAAGAAAACTGATATAAATGGAACCTTTTCATCATGTCTGATTGTTGTTGCATTTTATTCTTATCACAGTTTAATTATTATATATATATAAGTAAATTCAATAAATGCCAGATCTCACTATCAATTACTTCCTGGCTACACATGCTCACGTTTTCATTGTGACTAAATTTCCCATTTCCTCATTCACGCCTAGCAGTATCTAACCATGCAGATAGTTTTGGTTTTAGTGGTTTTAAGTTGTCTGAGATTTCGATACAATTGAATGGAATTTGTTTTGTGGCACCCAAACCAATGAAAACTAAAATTTTAATAGCAACCAAGTCCCGGTTACTCTGGATAATCCACAGATGCTGGCTAAATACAATAGTCCCGAGTTTAACAGCATTGTCAGTGATCAGATAAATGGGAAAAGATGTACACAGACAAACCTTTATAAACCATAGTCACACCAACTCAGACTGTGAGGCGTCCCCTGAGAGCTGTCAGTTGTCAAATTCTGTCCAAGCAGCTGTTTGCCAAGATGGACGTCCCTGTAAGCACAAGACAGACTGCTGACGAGCTGGTGACTGCATGAGGAGGCGGGGGAGGGTCCCAGAGGACGATTACAATGAAATGAAAGCTCCTCCATATGTGGAACAATATGTACCCACAAGTTTAACAGCAGTAATTGACAGGAAGTTAAAGAACATGTGTGCGAAGACGGATTTAAAATCATTTAAATAAAGACCGGGCTGTCTTGTTACACTTACTCTAGTCCAGTTATCAGTTTGGAAATGAGGAAATGATGCATTAGACGTAAGAGGTCCAGTATAGCAGATGCTTGACTGCTACACAGGAAACTGAAGCTACAACAAATGCCCAGATGTTCACACAATGATATAAGCAACGTAATTAACAAAAATGTTCTGACAAAAAGATTCACTCAGCAGCTGCTCTGGAGCTTTTTGGGTTTGGTTAATTGTCTTGGAAATGCAGATGTTCACAATGTCCAGTTTCAGAGCCCTTAAAAGGATTTCTAATTTGTTTTTTATCAACTGCTGTTTCCAAGGTCAAAAATAAACTTTAAACTTCAAGCAACTTCACTCAAGTTCTTAACTAAACCTTATTTAGTTTTTCTGACTTTGCAACAGCAGAAATTCCTGTGTGTTGAGCAGTAAAATGCAAACAGTAATAAAACTCTTAAAAAATGTTTATTTATTTAAAGTACAATTTCAATTGACATACATAATGTTTGTTGTTGTCATGGAAGTTAATAAACAGCTACATGCCTTACTCCACCGATATCAGCATATACAGCAGTCCATAAACAGCCAAGACCTTTAAAATGCGGTGTTACATATATGTGCGTAAAATGATAAAAAATGTGTGAAACCCTGAAGCAGTGCAGCATGTCCATGGTGGCGACACCCGATCTAAAAAAGTGAATCATGGCCTGCAGGTTTGAGGTCTAGAAGAGAGGTGCAGACTGTCTGGGGTCATCGGGTAACACACTGATGGAGTCCTCTGCTTTTCCGCACAGCATGCAGAGCATAGTGTACTCCTGGACGACACAGAACAGACTTAATGTGACCATTAAAACATTAAACAGTGGCAACAACTGACTGTGAGTACTGCATGTTAGATAACAAGATCCTATTTAAAAAAGCTAACATATACAGAATGAATTTACTTAGTTATGGTCATGAATCAGAACACAGATACCTTACCTGATATTCATCAACAACGGAGAATGTGTATTCATGGCTGGCGATGACATGGTCGCAATTTTTACAAACATCTGTAAGGACAAAGTTAGTTATTAGTGGATGAATGAGTCTCTCAGAGGATTGGGATTATTACCACTAACCAACCAACGTTTGGTGAGTTATAAAGAAGTCTGGTAATTCTCTCTTTTTCACTATACGGCCAAAACCAGATGCCTTACATCGACATTACTATGCTGCAAAAACAGCCTCTACCCTTCTTTAAATGTCCAGTAGTAAGTCGAATTTAGAACAATCGATTTGCAGAAATTGAATATAATATTAATAAGTATGTTTTCATTCGTGTATAATCATCTGAAAATAGGAATCATCAGGAATCATAAATTACTTTATGGATCTTGACGTTGTTGTTTTGAAACAGGAAAAGCATCTGCCCCAAACTGTTGCCACAAAGTTTGAAGAACCGAAGCAAAGAATTGATGCAATCGTGTAGTAATGTCGGCCTATCTGCTTTATGTTGCACATCTGATATATAATAATCATGACATACATAATCAATGATAGCCTAATTTTAAACACATATTCTATAATATTTCAAGATACAGAAGACCCCCTCTCAGCTCCCCCTGGCTCCCTTGTAGTGTGCACCCTGAGCCATCAGCCATCAGACTCCACAACACCACAGCACCCTGTACCTCCCACCCCCACTGCCTAAAATATTTTTAATTTGCACACCATTTTTGTGCACTATTTCCCCCAATGCTGCTGTGTGTAACTTGAATTTTTCCTACGGGGGATTAATAAAGGTATATCTTATCTTATCTTAGCCGTATATACATAAGTCCATACCTGAGAAACAGCCCCAGAAGCACATACACTATGTATACTGTTTTTATCTGGAGGTTGTTCTCCAATACAATGAAAACTGAAGCACAAGAAGACTGACTTACGGTCATATGTGACTATCTCCTCTCCATCATCGTCCTCTGTGGCTTTATTGCTGATCAGCACAAAGTCCCTCTGATGGCAGTTGGCACAGCCCAGGTAGTTCATCAGGTAGGAGCCATTCTCCAGACAAGTGTTCCCCTGAGCGGGAAACAACAAGAGCATCATTTTGATACCATCACATTAAACTATTATAACCTACTCACTGACACAATGAATGTTACACATAAGCGTTTTACTAACCCATCATCCTTTGAGGTGGGTGAAAAACACTTTTGGGGCAATACACAACACAAAATATCTCATAAGTGGGCAAAATACTAAAGTTTTTTTGTTATTTTTTTTGTTACAGGTTTTTAAATTAGAAAGTGATTGCAAATATATGTTCAGTTCTGTTTGTCTAAAAGCCTTATAAGATGATATCTTCTGCAAAATTCTCATTTCATGAATGTAAAATGTAGCTAAAATAATAAAAACGTATATTATATATTGTCTACTGCTGGATTCATTTAGAATTGGTTAACATTAACAACAAATCATCTACTTCACGTACAACTTCTTTTCCCATATTATGCTTAAGATCCAATTAAAAATGCCACATGTAACACAACAACAAGAGTAAACAAATAATGTTTCATATCACTACAGAAAGAGCATCTGTCACCAATATTGTGACTATATCTGCAAATCACGGAGTTTAAGGGACAACCTACAGAAGATAAATTAATGTTCCCTGTGTATGTGGAGCTAGGATTAACGTCAGTGTCTCCCTCGGCGGACTCGACTCACCCGGTCGGGGTACTCTTTCTGCACACAGCCGTTGCACATCGTTAACCTAAAACAACCGTTGTGTTGAAGTAAAGCTGGCGACGTAAAGCTAAAGTCAGCTCACTAACAGCTACATTAATTTCAGCAAAGACAAAAAACAAACAAAAACAAAACAACCACTCCTCTTTCCTCTTCCGCACGGAGTGGCGGTTCACCGCAGCCGATTAGATCTGTAAAACACCGCCATTACTGGAGATCGCAGCTAAAGTACGGAACTTACACTTATCGCTTCATTTGTAGATCTACGACAAATAACCGCCGTCGAACTTCCGGCGTCATCTTTAGCGAACGATTGGACGACGTGAGACACGACGTGATTTACGTAGCCAAAACATGGCGGTCGAGCAGCGGTTGAGTGTTGTTGCCATGTGAAAGTCGCCTGGTAATTAAGGTCTGTTTACAATTTAAAGCGAATATTTTTGTTCCGCGTAAACAACGTAGCTAAGTTACGTTACGGTCTCGCAGCGGCCGGTGTGAATTGTAACTCGGGGACGGTTAATGTGCAACTGTTCAGTCCAACGTGTTCGCCTTTCTGTGGACGCTGGCTGGTTCTCACTCCACTGGTACCACGTTGTGCTGCTGTCAGAAGTTTAGACCCGATTATTTAATAGTTACAGTTTTATATTGGTTGTAAACTGTCCAGGAGTCGTGTTAATCACAATACAACGCAGATACCGCCAGCAGACTGCAGTGTAAAGGCTTTATTCTGTGGTGTCTCTGTATGCTGCTGTTGAGGCGCTGCAGTTTGGTTTTGTTTGTTGTGTATATATTTAAGTTTTCTTATGTTTCACGGGTTCAGAAATGGCAAAAGTTCAACCCCCGCAGGCGAAGGTGGGTAAAAGCACCGTGAAGAGGATCAACGCCGCACCGTCCTCCCAGAAGCCCAAAAAGACCTACTGTATTTTGTGTCGCAAGTTATATTTGACACATGTAAGTGGCTCTGACCTTCACCCAGACATTTAAATGAGAGGCGATTTGCTATCGATAATATGGGATTTGCTTTCAACGTGCAGCAGCCGTTAGAAATGATCTATAATGTTTGCATTGTGACTCTGAACTGCAGGAAGCACAGGAGCATATGCATGGTATGCTGCATCACAGAGAGCTGGAGACAGTGCTGGGCAAGTGAGTAAAATATTAAGTGAATATATAAATGTGTGCCTGTTCTGTTTTCCATGAGGGATGCAAAAATACAGCAGTATTTTTCAAAATAAAACATGCATAATGCACTTGATGACACCTTTTGGCCTTGAAGCATAGTATCACCTGAGAATCCGGTGAGATTAAAGAGAGGGAGAGTATTGCTTTATACTGGGAAGGCATGCTTTCTTATTCTGCCCTTCTTCACTGGGCGCTCATCGTCTGTGTCCCAAATGGTGGTTGAGTTGCTCTTTTAGATTGATTATATATACATAATTAATTAGTTTGCCTTGATTTTGCTGAGCTAGCAGTAGATTTCTCACTTGATCCTTCAGTGTAAATACCACGACCAGAGAAAACATTTGATTGGTTCAACAATGTGTATGAAAATGACTAAAAGTGAAAATACACACTGCTACGTTCAGTCTCTTTAGGAAGTCCTCACTCACGAGGTTGGAGTCCCCCGATGTAAAGGATAAAAAAATATTGTTTTGGTATTGGTAGAGTGTTTCCCTGTATCCGTTTATCATTTGTTCTTTTCATATTCAATAAGGAATCAAAAAATGAGAACATGAAAAAACTATTCATTATTTTGTCATTCAATTATGAATCAAACGTTTTATTTTATTTTATACTCAAGTCAAAAATAGGAAATTAAAAACCACTGAGCTACACAGTGTGCTGCGAATTCCAACATACTTTGTTGAAACAATCATGTTGATGTTCATTCATTAAATCAGGGATGAAAAGAGCAAATAATACATTTCCCTCTTACTGAGACGACAAAATCATTGACCCTGAACTCTTGTGAGCAGCATTTTTTGTTTTGATGTTAAAATCAGTTGCGAGAGCTCAAACTTCTTTTGTATTCTGACATCTGCTCATATCTCACACGTCTGTTGTCATTCTTTTTCCTTAAACAGGAATTCCTTTCATGAATGCCAGGCGTGTAAGGAGTCCTCCATGGGTTTAAAGGAGTATGCTGAGCACATCTCCACTGCTCAACACAAAGCCAAGTTGAAGAGCTTGATGTCTAAAAATGTGAAGCCCCTCCCTCTGTTGAAGACTCTGGGCCAGGAGACCATGAGCCAGATCCTGGAGAGAAACAAGACACTGAAGAAAAAGGAGTAAGAGTTTCACCTGTCTATCTGTTATTGGGTCAAAATGATAGTATTCGACCCTGTTTATTCTCTCTGTGTTGTAATATTTTGTTAAAACACTCATATTGTCATCACAGGAAGAAAGCAACGAAAAAGAAAAGAAAGCAGCTAAAGCAGCTAGCTGGTCAGAAGCGTGCAGAAATGCTACAGGGAGCCTCCAGAAAGAACACGGTGGTGTCCAAAGTTGTGAAGCTGGAAAAGTCCAAACAGGTGAACATGAAGAGACTGAAACAGGTGCAGAAAATCCACCAGGAAGGAAACAACAACGCTGTTGTTCAAAACAAAGAGAATAAAGTGTCAAGTCAGCAAAGACCTCCCCACCAAAGAGAAACAGCTCTGCAGAATCAAAGTGGAAGATCAGCTGCCGGCTGGACCTGGCAGCACCCTCATGTTCAGGACCGGTTCACCCAATCAACTCCGCAGCTGAGGTATGATGACATCAAAAACGAGAGTTCCCAAGCAGACAGGCTAATAGGAAGACCACACAACAGCCAACAATGTGCCACTAACATGCCAGACAAACAAATATCATGGCCCGCCATCAGTCAGCATGAGCGTTACAACAAGCAGTACGATAATGTAACAGACTTCACCAGCGATCGCCTCCCTGAGGACGGAGCCATCATCTTCGATCACGGCCAGAATGAGAGTTCGGGACAAGAAGGCTCACATTGTTCGACTCAAGGTTCAGCAAACAGATCCGCCAACGCAGCTCCCATACGGGACGTCGATGTCAGCGCGATGCTGCGGCAAATCAGAAGAGCGCTGGGTGTGAGGGAGCCGTGCAGAGCGGACCGCGAGGCCCGAAAGCAGAGCAGTGAGGCAGGGGTGCGGCCGTCTGATCAAGCTGGAACCGTGAAAGAGCAGTTCAGAAACTACACCAATGAGGCTGCACTTCACATCACCTCTGCTGCGACTTCATCTGTGCAGTCAACACCGATTAGCTCTCCTGCTCCTGCATCCTATTCTGGTGTTGGTCTCTCCAGTATCGCCCCGACTGAGCCAAAACAGACACAAGGAACGACTCAGTATTGTGAGAGGAGCCCGGTGGTTGCAAGTGACTCAAATGGACTATCATGGAGCAGCATGGAGAGAGAGTCTCAGGGGACCCTCGACAGGACGGCATCGTCTGAGCCCAACCCGAACATCGCCCGCAGGGTTCGAATTGCCCACAAATCAAGCAAAGTTCAGGGGGAGAAAGACAGTGGGTTTAAATCATCTGTGAATAAGCTGTTCAACTTATCAGGGGCCAAAAGTAAGTTGAGCTGGAAGGAGATGAACCAGGAGATGAGGAGGAAGAAGCAGGAGCGGATCAAAGGCATGCCCAGGTAAAGCCTCTTCTCTCATGCTTTCAGTTCAGGTTTTGTTTCTCTGAACAGAAATCATTTTCTGTCTGTTTTAATTCTGTGTGGTAACAGGTTTGGAATAGAGTTTGTGAACCAAGAAAGCTCAACACAAGCAGAGGACTTGCCGCTGTCAGAAGGCTTCCACTGGGAGTCGCTCCCAGACAGTCCTGCAGGCGGAAACTGGACTGGACTACCTCCTCCACCCCAGCACACAGCAGACCATGGCTCTCACACAGGAACACAGTCAGACTCTCAGATGCAGCAGCCTTTACAGCAGCCTGGTGCAGCACAGGAAGGTTGCAGCGGTCAGACGGTCAAAGTGGTCTCTGTGAAGGTGGAACCAAACGTGGAGGAGGAGAACGAAGATTTGAGAGGCCACAGTAGTGCCAACAAGAGGACACACAGAGTGGTGACGGTAAGAAGTATATAGTATTTTTTAAGTGTAGGGCACAGCTGGAACGTATACTTTCCTGAAACATGAATCCCATTTATTATTGGGATTTATTTATTGTGTATTTTTACAGAATGATGGCATTTCCGATCCAGAGCCGAGGGGTAAAAAGAAGAAAACAAAGTCGAACAAGGGTAATTCAGATATTTCGTGTGTTTTTAATAGGAGTCTTTATACTGTTATCAGTTATATAATAAATATCAGTGCAAGCTAAGGTGTTATTATAACAGCGTACAGATTCATGGCATTCTCAGGCAGTATCATTTTATAGTAGAAGTGTAATAATATGTGCATTGTATGTTGGTTGAAGGCTATTAGAGAACAGCATCAGTGGAAACAGTAACGCCTCCAAACCACAGATTTATTTAGATGAATGCTGTTTGGCGTTAAAAATATATTATTATTTTTTATTGATGAAGATGAGACCAAAATCTAAATAAAATTCTCATAGTCAGTGTGGAACATTAATCTTTTCATTTAAAAGACCACTGTGTAGGATTTAGTGGCATCTAGTGGTGTAGTTGCAGATTACAACCCCATCGCTTCACCCTCTCGTTCCAAGCGCAGGAGAAACTAGTTTGGCCACGTAACTTAAAAAATGCGAAAGGCCTAGTACTGTTTTTAGCTGTCTAACAGTGTGGCAGCTAATCTTTTTAGCCTGTTAAAGCTGTGTTATCATTTAAAACAGATCACCATCTCAACTTCTCAATAATATTTGTGACTGTTTCCAAATATCATCCAGTAAATCCAGTAAATCTCAGTTAGTATTTTCCCTTTTTCCTGCTGCAGATCAGGACCAAATGGACCAGCTGTTGGCTGTGTCTCTGAGGGAGGAGGAGCTGAGCCACTCGTTACAAGCTTTGGACAAGTCTCTGGTCCAGGCCCGCAACACCCTGCAAGCTGCCTACACAGAAGTCCAAAGACTCCTTCTATTGAGACAGCAGGTACCACCACTAATAAAGAAAATATCAAGTCTTTTTGTACTTTTTCTTCTGGTGTCTTTACATTTAATTGTTCTTCCTGCTGTTTTAGTGTACTGCTGAAGTCAACAGTCTGAGAGCCCAGCGCATTGAGATCCTGCAGGGGATGCAAGGTACAGGAGATTTATCCTTTGCTTTAAAGGGCTTCACACACAACAAATAGTTTACCCTTTCCTCTCTTAATCTCTTTCAGGAGGATACTCAGGAGCATCTAATACGGGGGCTGCTGCTGCTGTGCCCCCAAGACTCTCTCCCCTTCCTTCCTCTAGTGCCTTCCCCATCGCCTCCAGCACACCTCCCATAAACCCAGCATCTTTCATCAGCCAACCTCATCCAACCCCACTTGTCCTGACAACCATGCCAGTAAAGCGAGAAATTTGTCAACCAGCTACAGTCTCCTGTAACCCTGATACACCGCCGGTACCTGTGAACCAACCTGTGTGCCTGTTTCCCTCTGATTTGCTCCCTTCGCTGCTGGTTACATCACCAGGCTTAGCAGCGCCGTCAACTGCTGTTACCTCTCTCAAAACAGAGTGCTCTACGTCAGGAAACATTTCTCCTGAATCCTCTGCCAGGCAGCAGGAGCAAGTCACGAGGGAGGGGTTAAAGGACTGTTTAAAGACAGTGAGGTTAGCGAGAGAGGAAGCACAGTCTGTCGACAGTGATTCTGAGGAGGAGACGGGAGGAGCTCTCGAGACTCCGGCAGGGCAGCCCGTCGCCTCTTTTGTCCCTGAAAGAGATCACAGTGCTTCTGCTGCTGCATCACTGGACGACGATGGTGGGAACGAGAGCGACGACTCCGTTGAAATGATGGAACCCTCCAACCTGGTGGTCATTGATATCGATGAATCAGACAATGAGGGGACCATCTCAAATGTCCACGTCCACAAAGAGCCCTCTCAGAAGTCTGTCAGTGTGGACTTCAGCTCTGCAACCACACAGACGTTTCAGCAAAATGCGGATGAGAGGTGGGGTCGCTACGTAAGATTGTGTGTGGTATAGAATCCCGAACATTACTGCGATCCTGTACTCAAAAATGTTTCTCTCTTGACCACTCAGAAAAGTTCAGCCTACAGTGAAAGATACCTGTCCTCCTCCAGGTGAGTATTGTTCCTCCTCTCACAGAACATGTTCACATACAGAGATCAAGCAGAGCTATAAAAAATGTGATCATGTGATCACTGCTTTTTTTCAGAGGGTGTCGAGGATGACGAGCCATCTGTGGGAGCGTTTTTAAATCACACAGGTCCCGTCCACGGCCTCCAAATTCATGAGGGCCTATTGTACACGTGTTCAGGGGACAACACAGCACGGGTCTACAGTCTGATGGTATGTTGAAGCAAACTGTGGCTAATTGGCTGCTTTTTACACTCCTCTTATATGAAAGAATCACTGCATGAATATTAAAGTAGAATAGAAAAGAGTTTTTGTTGCTTTTTAGTTCTGTTGATATAATGTATTTATAATATTTTGACATATCAGGCAGCAAAGATCTATTTTAATACAACTACCCTAAAATATATTCAGTAACTGAAAATTGTGATAAGATATATAATCTGTGAAATAATAATCAAATACATTTTGTTTCTGTGTATCCAGACCAGGGAGTGCCTAGCAGTGTTCAGTGGTCACACAAACAAAATCAACTGTCTGCTGGTGTCGTCCCTCCCAAATATGCTGGCACGCCTCTACACCGGGTCCAGTGACCAGACTATCCGCTGTTACAGCATAAAGGTACAAAATGTCCGGCCAAGCAATATTGTGCAAAAAAAAAAAACCAACCCTTTAACCAGAACACACCTGTGAGCAGCTTTGACTTACATAGGATGGGTTGCCTCCTGTCTTGTGTTTTGTAAATTTGTGATGTTTTAACTTGGTGATTTGTTTTTCTTCCGTTCACCTCCAGTCTAAGAAGTGTCTGGAGCAGATCTCTCTGTCAGACAGGGTGCTGTGTTTGCACATTGGCTGGAATATTCTGTTTGCTGGACTCGCCAATGGCTCTGTGGCCAGCTATGACTTAAAGGTGAGTAAAATGATTTTAATACTCACAGTTTTACTTGACATGAAAAAACATCCACTCACTTGCTGTAACTTAAGTAAGCCAACCATCACAACTTGGTTTATTTTAGTCAGATTACGTCAAAGTGCTCTAGTTGACCTGTAACCAGAGAACTTGAGTTTTGATTTTGCAGTGATGTAGACTATATTTTCAGAGCCTACGTGTTGCTTTTATCTTTTCCTGCCAGAGATATTTTCTGACAGCTTCTTCAGCAGCTTTCCCAGCTCATATTTTTCATCTTGATTCTTTTTTTCTCTCTCTCTCTCTCTCTCTCTCTCTCTCTCTCTCTCTCTCTCTCTCTCTCTCTCTCTCTCTCTCTCTCTCTCGTTAGACCCTGAAGCAGTTAGATGTGTTCGAGTGCCATGGCCCTCGGGGTGTCAGCTGCCTGGGTACAGCACAGGAGGGCGCCCGCCGGGTGCTGCTGGTCGGCTCCTACGACAGCACCATCAGTGTACGAGACGCCAAGAGCGGCCTGCTGCTGCGCTCGCTGGAGGGTCACACCAAAACTGTTCTCTGTATGAAGGTGAAAGACCAACACTTCTGCTCTTAAACTTCAACATGATTTCTGTCCAAATAAGGAGATTTTACTTTTGTTTGAATGGAAACCTGTTATAAGAATTTACTGTACTTTATTTACTGTTCATGCTGACATTCAATCTGTATTTATATCATGTCATATTATATCATATCTGCAAGTGTCAAAATTCAGGTTTTGACACGTGACACATATTCTTAAGGGTGTAAATAACTTCTAAATGCTGTAATAAAGTTTCTTGTTAATTAAATTATAATTATAAAACAATTATATTTTAGGAGCAGGGATGTTGAATGTTGAACAGATTTTAAAGCCCCCTGAGGCAAATAGTGATTTATGACTTTCTATTTATATAAAATTTTACTTGACTGACTTGATTGTCAAAGAGATATTATCACTTGTATATCAGGTTTACTAGATTCTACTTCCCGTGTTGTTTTCAGGTGGTAAACGACCTGGTATTCAGTGGCTCCAGTGACACATCTGTTCACGCCCACAACATCCATGTAAGTTATTTATCTATGAGTATTGATTTATTAATCTCCAGAGGGGAAATACTTTTTTTCTCTTCCCTACTGCCTCCCCATTGACAGCCACTTTGTTTGTTTTGATGCCTTTTAACATGATATTACAGTGAAACTATTCATCTGAACATTTCTTGTGTCTGGCTGAAAGTTTAGCACAAATTTAGTCCCTGATGTGACAATACAACAGTAAAAAGGTTGATATTATTTGGTCTTATGTTTGTCTTCCATCTTATGTTTGTAGACGGGTGAGTTGGTTCGTATCTACAAGGGTCACGGTCATGCCGTCACATCAATAGTCATCTTGGGCAAAGTGATGGTAACGGCCTGTCTGGATAAACTGGTCCGAGTTTATGAGCTACAGGTACCTTATTTATGACTCCATTATTCACACTGATATCTGAGTGTGTGTTTGTTTGGTTCCTAAAAATTCAGAGAACACACTGAAATTTCTCAATTTAAGACCTCAAATCAATCAAAGCCAATATTTGCATGTGAATCTGTTTGATTCAGTTCATATTGCTTCACCATCCATCGTCGAATACTGAAAACAGAATTTATATGTATTAATTATAATAACACTTCTCATAGTTTCCTTTAGCAGTGTTATACCATTAGGTGTTAAATGTCTATTACTTTTAGTTCAGGTCCCACATTTGAAAAGATCTTAAATTTGACTTCTTGGAACCTGCACATAACTAGCATTTATTTTGAACTGTGAATTGTCTATATATTTATTTATATGTAAAAATTAATTTGAGTGTTATATTTCTTTGTTTTCAGTCCCATGACCGCCTGCAGGTGTACGGGGGTCACAGTGACATGGTGATGTGCATGGCCATACATAAGAGTGTGGTACGTGAATTTTAAATCTAAACTTGCGTGATAGATGTTCTGTTTGGAAATGGTTTAAAATACATATCTACCATTGTTTGTCCCACCCAGATCTATACAGGCTGTTACGATGGCAGCGTTCAAGCTGTAAAGCTCAACTTGATGAAGAACTACCGCTGCTGGGTAAAGATTCATTACACAGAGAGTGAAGTGTAATCCACGAGTACACACTTCAGTCTTCCTCTTGAAGATATTTAAACATCCCCTCCAAACATGTGTTAAGACATGTATACAAATAACCTGCTTGGAACAATAATGAGTGATATATGTTTGTTTTTTTCTTATAATTTTCACTTAAAATATATCCTTAAAGAGTCATCTACTCCTTCTACCTTCCAGAATCTATAAATATACAAATTTTCAAAGAAGTCTCCTACTTCTCAGTGTATCAGCACTGGTGGCTTAAAGTTTCTGCATCACACTTATATACTGGACCAGGATTATAATTATGATTGACTGATTATAAGACTTTGTGACCTTTGCCCTCTGTTCAGTGGCAGAACTGCTCTCTGATCTTCGGCATCGCGGATCATCTCGAGCAGCACCTCGTTCGAGATCACAGCAACCCGAATCTGGAGATGGTCAAATGCCGCTGGAGAGGCTGCAACACTTTCTTTGCCACGCAGCAGTCGGTTAGGCAGGTAATGAACCGACGCTAATGACTTTCATCTCATTTTAAACAATGTGGAGGTTGAAGGGAAGATCAGCTTAGCTCTGTTCCTTAGTCACAATCTTATATTCTCATAGCTTTGTTGTTAAAAGTAAGGAGTGCCTCCACACACACACAACTACACGTGGGCAGGCTGAACAACCCCTCAGTGCTGTTTGTATTTTCCTGCAGGAGCTGCCTGAACACATGCAGAGCCACGCGGAGAACGACAGTAAAGTGCAGCGGTGAAGTGACGCAGCGATTGAGGAGTTTCATCCATTACAACACATCAACTGACTTTTCTTTTTTGTTGTTTCGAAGTTCTTTTCAGGATATTTGGTTTTATTTTCCAGTTTTTGAGGTGCCAATCACATCTCTTTGGTCTTTGGTGCACACTGTATGACTGGCCACTTGTTATTGATCCCTGAAGCTGTTTCATAAAAGTATTGTTGACGTTCAGTCTCACTCAAACACTCAATCAGTCTTTTTGTTAAAATACTTTTAACCCTTCATCAATTATTTGCTGTTTAAGTTATCAGTAATTAAGCTATATTTGACGAGTAAAATGACTCTTTTATTCGTCAACACGTTTTTACTTAACGCGGCGAATATGTGACGCAGCTTTAAACAACATGCAATATATTATACAGTCAGCCTGCCCAAAAATGTCATAGTATATGTGAAACTAATTTATATAACTTTTTACAACTATACTGCACTGGCATAAACACCTCAGAATAGCTTTTGCGGAGCAGCTTATACTGTGAACTGCCTTCAAAATCCTGTTTAGATATTGTACCGCCGATTGGCTCTGAAGCGGAGGTAACATGTTGTAATGTTGGCTGAAGGAACAGTAAAGCAGAGACGCCACAGTGTCTGAACCTGAAGAACATTAATTTAGTTATACATCAACTGTCAACACCCAGTTTGTCCATCTGCACAGTTAAGAGTTATTAAAAAAATAATACTCCACCAATTTAACGTTGTACTCCGGTAATGTTGTCTGACCCGTGTAAAAAAAATAAATAAAAAATTCATTCATTCATTACCCACAATGCAACTCAACCGCAGACAGTTGGGTCACAGAAGTTATGCCAGTAGCGGTAAATTTAGCCTCGAGCTGCAAGCTTCAGGCAAGAGATGAGCAGCAACTACAGAGGTCTGGTAAGCTCACTTCTTTGTAATCGACTGATGTGTAAAAATGGTGGAGCTCCCCTTTAAAGATGACGTACAACCCCCCCCCTCAATAGGCTAATATTTAGCAACCTGTACTTTCTGTATAAATAATAACATTTGTACCTCTTATCTGCCTGCTTTCAAGCCAGATGTCCTTTTGTGATTTGGATTATATTCCAGATTTTAGGTTTTTCACCATTCACTGATACAACAGCGTGGAGACGGAGTATCTTTAATTACTTCCTGACTCAGACTGTTGTGTCCTGTCACACTTGAGTATTTTGAGAGAAATTATTGCTTTTGTTGTGACTGAGCAATCTGGTTATTAAAAAAAAGAAAAAAGGTTTTTCATCGTCATTTTTAACTTGTACATTGAACATTTGCCAGATAATTATTCTAGGCAATGCTCTGGTCCCTTATATCACTTTATACGACACATTTAAAAAACTCATCTCTCCTTTTGGGTAATGGAAGAAAGTGACAGTTGTCAGATCAACCCGAGAGTAACTTATAAGACTGCTGCCTTAATTTTTTGTATATTATACTGTACATTGTGTATTGGATGTTTAATACCTACTGTATGTGTACAGCAATAAAAAGACAAACACACTTCACAGTGTTCCCCTCCACTATATTTTAAAAACAACATACAAACCAAATGTTCAATCATTCACTTCTCATATTCAAACATTTTATTTTTCAGCACTTCCAGCTTTGCATTACATATTGTTTACAACATAGGAACCTTTGGCTACAAATGTAAACTACATTTGTAAAAACATCTGTTCACATCTTTACACCACCTCTTAGCCTGATGCAACATGATATCTACACTGATGCATCAAATTCTGTCGCTCTCATCAGCTCTGTAGAGTCGAGAAAATGAATCAGCTTTATTACTAAGAGGATGTCAGTCGCTTAAAGGTCCAGTGTGTAACCTTTAGGAGGATCTATCTGCAGAAATGTAATATAAAATTCATCTGTATGTTTTCATCAGTGTATAATCGCCTGAAAATAAGAATTGTTGTGTTTTTGTTACCTTAGAATAAGACGTTTTTATCTATAGACAGAAAACAAATAGTTTTCTAATAAATATACAAACTTCTGACCAATCCATATCAATTCAGATTCTGTGGGTCACTTTCTGTGGAGGCCGGCATGTCTCTACAGTAGCCCAGAACCGACAAACTAAACATTGGCTCTAGTTGCAATCTACAACCACACCACTACACACTGGACCTTTTAAAAAATAAGCTGAAATAAAGTTGACATTAAATCTAAATATTACATAAAACTGGAGAAAACATCAAACATCTGATTTCGACTTCAAGATTCAAGATTTTATTAAAGTCGCAAAATCTGTGCAAAAATACTTTTAAGAGGCTGTCCAGGAGATGAATCATGAACGTGAGCACCAACTGTCAGCAGGTCAAGTAGGCGACTTAAGAATACAGGGTCAGCTGAAGCCACTGGAGAAAGAGCAAAAGGAAAAAAATGAGCACAAAGGGGTTTTAAAAGTACGCTTACAGTTCACACTGCAATCCTTATTCAATACTCAGATGGGATTGTTTTTGTTAGCCTTTCACGTTTTCACCGCCACCGTGGTTTCTTCTACACTCTTCACAGCCTGTTTGAACATTTGCAGGTCATCAAATACAGACGCCAGCGGTGTTCAGCTAGTTGCAATCAACAACCTCACCACTAGAGGCTACTAAATCCTACACACTGGTCCTTTAAGTAATACTGTGTGCAACAACAGAAACATTAACAGAAACGTAGCGTCAGAATATGTTGTGGGAAATACTAAAAACTCACCTCCAGGACATTGAGCTTGATTATTCCATCTCCGTCTTTGTCAAAAGCATTGAAAGCTCCTGCGAGAGACACAACAGAGTCTTCATCAAACTCCTTATAAACCTCGAGCTGATGCAGTCGGGCCGGACTGCCTGTTGGTGGATTAATTTTGGTGAACAAATCTCAGGAGGTACTTACTGAACATGCCCTCCAGCCTCACAAAACAGCAGATGTAACTGTCAAAGTCGATGTTGAGGTGTTCGTCTGCGTAGCGCATGGCTATGATGTCATATAACTGGTTGTTGAGGTGAAACCCTTCGAGGAGAGAAGATGAAACAGAGATCAGGTTCATGGTCAACAGTTTAGATCATGTTACAGGTTCCCTAACAAAAGACTGGAAGGTATTTCTGACAGAAAGTAGAAGATAAATCTGAACCTAATCCTCATACAGTATCCTGCCAGTGGTTCATGCTGCTCACCTGCATCATTAACGGCGTTCCTCATCTCAAAACTGCTGATGGTGCAGGATTTGTCTTTATCGTAGCTTTTGAAGATCAGCTGAAAACACACAAGGAGACGGACAATCTGATGAAAACTTGAAGGTCTGTTAAATATGAGAAGAAGTTAAGTTGCTAAAAAGGTCCTACCTGCCACGCCTTGATCTTTTTCCACAGGTGTTTGAACTCCTGCAGGTTCAGCTTCCCTGTCCCGTCGGTCTGAGAAAAAATCAGTTACGGAAAAACCAACACAATCTCTAAGGTGCTATTGAATGTGTTACCAAGCATCAATAAAGAATTTATATTTATATTATGTATTGGTTATTTGTTGCATAATCAGGATATTAAAAAAAAATTTAATTATAGAAAAAAATATAAAAATGTAATGATTATAATGGGGATTATTAGCAGGATTACTATTTTAAAACATTTAAAAATAAAGGACAACACATTACTACACACATTCAGGAAATGTCACCATTATTTTATCTTTAAAACAGGAAAGTGGAGAACCATGATCAGAGTAAAGTTTTGCCTTCCACCTGTGGAAATTGTCTACAAGCTGTTGCCTGATTTTGCTTAATGAAAAACAAGTTTTACTTTAAAAAAACACTGAGCAGAGGACACATTGTTTGTTTCCACTTTCTTTTCTAAGGTCACATTGTTCTTTTGTCTTATAGAATACACGTTTTATTGATACAGTATTTCCTTTCTCTCATCTTTTAATCCACAGTTATAAGAAGTTTGGTCTAATATATTTACAAGAATAACTAAAAATAACAAATCTTGCTTTTGATATAGAGTCATAGTCAAAGTATAGTCATATAGAGGCATCAGTGTTAAATTGAGACTGTTTCATTACCAGTTAAAAACTCCTTGTAGTATGTTGAAGTTCATATTGTAATACTTGGATTAGATTACTGACTACATTTTTAACAGGTAATTAGTAATTGTGTCAGGTTGCATTTTTAGTAACCACTGCTGCACAATATCAGTCCATTAAAGGTTTACAGTAAGGGGAACCCTGTATATACACTTGTTTTGTCAATAAAACTTGAATTGCCATTAATCAATATATGTCTTACTCCTTTAACTTCTTATTGCCAGAGTGGAGCCTTTATGAAAAATGCTTGTTATGCTGTTGTTCTACAGCACATGTTGAGACAGATTCCTCTGGCTTTAAGCAGCTGAAAGGATACATCCATCAAGGCGATCATACTCCGACATGTCTCAAGGCTGAATCCCTCTGACTTTATTTCATTATCTGTGGAAAAGAACAGCTTGTTATGAACGATCAGCACAACACACAGACAATAATAATGATCTCAGTGTACTCACGTTTGGAGAGTACGTTCTTCATGACTGTCTTGAGTTCGTTGGCACAGATCTGCATATCCTGATGGAGGGAGGCCAAATGTTACACTCAGACAGCTACGCCGGTCCTTTGTTACCCTTGTTATCTATTTAAAACTACTCCTCTCTCCTCTCTGTGTACTCACCTCACCAGCAATCTTTTGGTAAATGACTCTGAACTGTTTCTCCTCTTCAGTCTCCTCAGGTTCAAGTAGTTTTTGCTGAGGGACAAATAAAACATTTAAATTAGGTAAATAAAAGAAATAATATAAAATTTTAAAAAAGGTTTTGAAGTTTGAGCTTCTTTAAGTGTTTGACAGCCTGTGGTGTAAAGTAAGTATTTATTTTACAGTGAGTACTTAATTTGAGGTACTTTAGGCCACTTTATACCTCTACTCCACTACATTTTAGAAGGAAAAAATATGAGCCTCACCTTGACTAGCTGCAACATTTAAGTACATATTAATGCATTGATAACTGTAATACAATGATGTAATACAGTTATAGAATGTAAATTACACGGTCTGCTTAAGGTTTCTGCCTTTTAGGAAGTTTTTCCTTGCCACTGTCGCCTGTGCTGCTTCATGGTGGGAGTTGTTGCGTCTTTGAAAAAAATTTTATAAGTCAGTCTAGATCAGTGTCCTGATATAACTTCTGCGATGATTTGGAGCTATACAAATAAACTGAATTGAAAGCGATATGGTAGAGTGATTTAGTTTTTACCAGCCGATTTCACAAGATAATAAATGAATATTATACAAATGAGTATTATATATATACACACAAGTGTGTGACTTCTTTTATTGTTATAACTTTGATCATTCGTCACCTCCAACAACAAGTTTGGTGATCAGGAATCTTAAAATAGTAGAACTGGGTTTTTGAGTTCTTCAGTTTGTTAGTGCAGCATTATAACTAACACTATATGTAGTGATTGATTAGCTCCGGGTGCATTTCCTTAAAGCCCCAGAGGAGAGCAGCACATTAGAGGAAGACATTAACGACTTGGCCTATATACACAGAGGCCTTACAGGAAAACAGGTGCAGCTGAGCCACTTGAGATCAGTTGGCTCCGAGCTCAATTGTTTTATTCCCAGGGATGTTATTTGACCTGGGTATGATTTCAGAGCTGTCAGTCCCCAGAAATTACGACAGGAGCAGGGCAGAGGTCACTATGAGCTATTTGCTGCCCGTCTGTGTTTCGGCTCAACAATAATATCTCTATACACACTGTGCTCCCTCAACAAGGAGATTACCTTCCGTTTCTTCTTCTTTTCCCCCTGAATGCCATCATGCTCGATTTCTTTGTTGGCTCGGGCTCTGTCTGACACAAATACAATAGGCTGGCATGTAGGTAATGGCAGTGGTTGGTAAGAGGAGAGAGGGGGGTTATAAGAGACAAAACAGAACAGAAAAGAGAGAGTCAGTTTATAGTTTTTCCACTGGTTATGATCTACATATGCGATGATGGAACAAACTATAACTGCCAACGCTGCTGAAAGCCAACACACGATGGAGAGAAGCAGCCGGAAAAGCAGAGATTAAAAGCAATCTAACAACGTTATTGCCACGTGCATGCATTACCTTTTCTTTCATTTTCTTGTCTTGCTGATGGCCAATAACACAAGGAAGGGCAGAAGGATGAAATGAGATGAAAAGGAGGATGCATTTAAAAGTCTGTTAGTCATTCTTGTGATAAAACCAATGAGTGAGCACAGAGTATGAATTGGGACAAGACAGAGAGATTTCAAGAGCAAGCCTGATGAAATATGTATGTTACACAGTTGGGATTTAACTGATACTGCAGTGTGAGCTGCAGCACTCTCGTTGGAGTAAGAAGTGCTGCAGTATTCCAGCATATTGAGCCTCTTTGGGAGGAAGCTTAATGTATTAATGTCTAATTTTTCTTTGTATTTTGCAGATGTGTCTAAACGTAGGTGTGATAGGAAGGAACGTTAAGGCTTCAAG